TGTAAGAGAAAACAGAGGCCCTAAAAGGAGAGAAAACGCATGTGTGTTGGTGAAGCGGGGTGGTGGTCACGGCTGCCATATTAATCTACAGGCCCACAAGACGCCGCAAGTCCACACTGAGTCCCGCAAGACGCCGCAAGTCCACACTGAGTTCAACATGGGTACCTGCCCAGAAACCCACCCCCAGGGAAGAGCTACCCAATTTGTTTGGGGGTTTCTAAAAACATCGGTACCTGAGGGGTCGTCGTAGCGGCCGGCTCGGGCTTCGCGTCTCTGCCTGCTGGACCGGAAGTGAGCCTGAGGGCGGGGGTCAGCGCCTGTGCCCGTCTGCGCGCATGCGCACTCACTGCACACCGCTGGTTCCGGGTCTACTGTCTCTCTAGCTTCCTGGGCGCGAGGCTCACCCGCCGAACTTCCGGATCCGCTGCCCGCACTTACACTTGACTACTTGCCATTTTACTTCGAAAGCCTACGTGCAAAAGCACAAGTCGCCAACGACAGTACAGACGCATCATTCTCACCGGGCATAGATATCAGTTTCCACAGGAATGCCACTGCCAGGAAAGTCACAGAAAGTTGTCACTGGTCTTGGTGGAAACTTCAAGAATTGTTGGCCCTTTTGGAATCTCTTGCCATCAGTGGCAGGGCTGCTGCTGGTAACCATCAGCCACCGGGCCGCGTAATGAGCCCGCAGTAGCAGTGCTTCCGTGCAGAGACGTCACAGGTTTGTGGCAAGCGTCAGGATTCTTCGTGTCGTCGTCCGGTGAGCTCCCGCCTGGGGGTGTTCATGTAGATGCACACGGAACGTGACGTTCGTTTACATAGCCACTCACCTCTTATTTCCCTATGTGTTGAGTTAGGGACTTGCACATTAAAAAGTTACGTGATGGGTCATTACATCGTCTATGCCGGGTTACAGTTCAGGATGGTAGAGAGACATGAAACCATTCATTTCTCCAAGGTGATTTGCATCTGATAAGGATGAGAACAATTTGCTCCAGGTGATGGCAATAAATTTTCAATGATTACAGTAAACTCTAGACCTTAACTAAAGTCCTTATGACAGATTTGCAGGGATATCATTCAGTCCCTGGTAATTTGTGGGACATTGTTTTCCATTAATTTTGTTGCTTTGAAATCCCCCAGTTTGTTTGTTTGTTTTTGTTTTATTGGACAAGGTCAATGATGCTTTTCTGGTGATAACTACTCCATAGGCTGTTTTCTCAATCCATATGTGTGATCAAAATTCTTCCCCTCCCTCAGCTGATATCCCAGGATTCATCTCACTTATTAGAGTGGTATGTGGTATATCTGCCCGCCCTGCCATGGGATGGACTTGGTCTTCATTCGGTGAATTACCCGTGTCTTCAGTTGGGTTTCCCCAAAAGCATTCCCGGAGGAGAGGATTTGAGTAGGAGTAGTTTCTTTGGGTGCTAATCCTGAGAAACACTGGTGACCTGAGTCAGGGTAGGGAAAAAAAAAAAAGGTATATTCCTGAGCACAAGCAGCTCTGGACAACTGGTCCATGCTGGAGACCATGGAAGTCAGTACAGAATAAGTCTGAGATTGTTCTGTTCTAGAGACATGGAAGCTGGGGTGTTTATTCATCCACTTCTCTTTCTCATTGACTGAGGACAGTCCTGGGAGCATTATTCCCTGACACTTCTGGTTACCACATACAAGGGCCATCCATGCTGATGTGGCTCAAGGATGCCCTCAGACAGAGTCACAGGCATAGGTACTTGCAGTAAGACTCATAGTATGTACAGAATGGCGAGTGCCAAGGGGAGATAGACAGGGAACCTGCAGCAATAACTACATTTAGGGCTGAAGGTAAGTGGGAGAAATTCAGCCATTCATTCATTTTTCCTTTTTGAGACAGAGTCTTGCTCTGTTGCACAGGCTGCTGGAGTAGAGTGGCGCAATGTTGGCTCACTGCAATCTCTGCCTCCCAGGTTCAAGCAATCCTCTTATCTCAGCCTCTCAAGTAGCTGGGACTATAGGTGTGTGCCACCACGCCTGGCTAATTTTTGTATTTTTAGTAGATACAGGGTTTCACCATGTTGGCCAGGCTGGTCTCAAATTCCTGGCCTCAAGTGATCCACCTGCCTCGGCCTCCCAAAGTGCTGGGATTACAGGTGTGAGCCACCATGCCTGGCCCCATTCATTCTTAATTATGTAGATAATGTGCTATGTCATATATCCAGGCATATGGAGAAGTGAAATTGTATTCCATCCAAGTGAAATGGGCAATTTCATGTTATTTTTTTTCAGGTATTAAAGCCAACAAGACCAAAAATGGAGGATGTGACCTACTCCTGACTCCCCAGAGGGAAGACCCCAAGGCTGCCTTGGCCACAGGTACAGTGGAAGAGGCTGTGAACCTGTGTGTGTGTTCCGACATGCATTACTAGGCCTGACAGTGCTTATAATGGCTTGGCCATCCCCTTCACTTGAGCTGCCTAATTGTCAGGCCTTTCCACAATATGAGTTTGTTGTTTTTTTTTTAAATTTCTCTGAGTGCACACCATCCTTCAAACCTTCCAAGCATGCTAATGAGTACATTGGTTAATTATAAGAACTTCAACTGCAGCTCTCCCCTGTAGCAGCTCAGCAGAGAATAGCACAAGCTGAGAAAACTCATGGACAGGCTAAGATTTGCTAGAGGAATAAGAGATTTCAACTAATTGCAAGATAATTGTCCTAATTTACAATTAGCAAACTACTTTGTTCTATACCCATTGAGGTCTAGGTCTAGGTCTTTGCCACCTCTTCCCTGCTGCCATTAATTAGAGGGACTAGCAGAGAATTTTAAAATACAGGGCCCAAAGACTGCAGAAGGTGAAGATACTGTTGCCTCCTGGTTAACTCTCCACCACTTGCTCTGTCACTGTATTTCTCCTGTGATCAGGCCCCAGCTGTAGTAAAGCAAACCTTAGGAAACATTGTAGCTCTGAGATTGAGTGAAGATCACTTTCCATAGCCTCCTACATCATTCAGTGCTTCCACATCTGCTAAGAGTTGTTTATTGTATTTAAGAGCATCTCACAACCCATAAGTGCTGCACAGCATATTAATCTTCCCCCTTCTTTTTCCCTCTTTTTCTTTTCTCGAACTCTATCCTGCTTCCCTTTCTTCCACCTGCCCATCCTTTAACCATTTTACTGAAGAGTAAATCAAATTGGATTTTGTTCTGTTAAGACTTTCATTCTGCTCTCTAAGTAGCCACATCCTAAGACAGGGTTTCTCCCTCTCTGTATTATTCCCATTTGTCATGGGGTTGTCCTGCTCATTGTAGGATTTTTACTAGCATCTGTGGCCTCTACTCACTATATGTCCCTCCCATTTATGACAACCAAAAATGTCTCCATACATTGCCAAATGTTCCCTGGGGAACAAAATCATCCCTGATTAAGAGCCATAACTCTGTGGTATCACAAAACCAGGTCTAGAGAAATAAAGCAGCAATCTCTAAACCACAAAGTGCTTTACACCTCAATTTCTAGGATGATTCAAGTGATAGGTACGATTTTTTAAATGTTATTTTTATTTTTACTGCAATGGCTGTTATGGTTGGCCCTGAATTACTTTGCTAATGCTCTAAATCTGCCATTGTACCTGATTAATAAAGAGAGCCCGTGGCCAGTGGGAGAGATGCAAACAAAAACATCATTAAATCTTCAGAAGCTATCTTTAAAAAAATAAACTAGCAAAGATATTTTTGTTCATCTGCCTGGTAAATGTCAATAACCATTTAAAAATTTTCTAGATTTATTTAACAGTTAAGAACCTTTGCTCATTTCAAAAACGTATCTTTGGTCTTGGTTTAGTATTTGTTCTTTCAGGGTGTGTTATCTGCACTTTATTTTGCTTTCTTAATGTCACAGCATCCCTGGACTTGGTCTTTAGACCATTTTTTCTCTATTTACACTCAGTCATTTGAGGAACTGATCTGGTCTTACGGCTTTAGGTGCCATCTACACCCTAATGGTTTCCAAATATATAGCTCCAGCCTAGACCTCTCCCCGGAACTACAGACTCATAACCTCAAGCTTCCTATTCAAAATCTCCTCCTGACTGCTGAATGGGAATTTTCAATTTAACATGTCCAAATTGGATTCTTTATCTTCTACCCAAACTTCCTCCTTTGGCAGTGTATTGGTGGGGTTCAATCAGGAATTGGAATAACTATAAGTAATATGGAATTACACTTGCTTATAGTGACCAGACCCAACAAATCATGGGAGACCCTAGGGAACTAAATACATAGAAGAGGACAATTGGAGGATTGGAGAAAAGTCATTAACCAGGGATCACAAAAGGAAGCTGGTGAAGAAGTCTGTGGAGGGCTGTTGTCTCTGCCTCTGGGCGTGAGCCTGATACCACTGGGGTCAGTAGAGCAGGCAGCATTTAAGAAAAGCTGGACATGAAACGAGAGAACAAGGGCCATCTAGAACACATAAGGACTAACTGGAACCAGCAAGGACAAACCTGAATCTGGCTCTCATTGCCTCTAACCTTGACGATTCAGGTGACTTGCAGAAGGAGCTGACTCCCTTTGCCATGGAGCTACACAGGCACCTGGGCCAGGACTCAGAAAAGCTGAAGGAGAATATCCAGTGGGAGCTGGGGCAGCTGGGGGCCCAGCTACTGCCTACTCCCCAACTCCCACCAATGTGAGCCAGTAGATCAGCGATGTGTGTGAGCTGCAGTGGTACCTGGTGCCTGACACTGACATTAAGAATGATGGAGGCAGCAAACCACGTTGTCATGTATGCACCTATGCAACAATCCTGCATGTTCTGCACATGTACCCCAGAACCTAAAGTGCAATTTAAAAAAAAGAACGTAATGGCTGCTGCTTCAATTGTGACTTCCAGATCTCATAAAAATTTCTCTTTTGGCCAGCCCTACCCCAGAATTATACAATACTCATGATGTTATGAGTCTAGTTCAGGAGACAGGTCCAGAGGAAAGGGAATTCTAGGAAACATAGTCCC